GAGAGAGAGAGAGAGAGAGAGAGAGAGAGAGAGAGAGAGAGAGAGAGAGAGAGAGGGTTGGGTACTCGATGAGGACGAAGCATGCTCTGCTCTGCCTAACCAATATTTTATTCGGTTTTTATGTTTTCCTTTTCTCAACACATTTTCTAAATTTATGTCCAAGAAATATATATATCAATTCTTAAAATTTTTATTTATTTTTCTCGAAATGTCACCCATCATGTCCTTTAATACTAAGCTGCTTCCTTTTCTGATATATTCAAACGAATATAAGTTGAAAACTTAAACGTCACAAAATTTTAAATAAAACAATTCAGCGTAGTTTGGCTCATCAAAGTACTCATATCTTCCTTTAGCCAATGAAACTTTAAAATCTGTTAGAAATATTTTAAAAAGCTAAAATATGTTTTTATCTAATTTAAGTGTCGTGAAAGAAAGCTACTATTATAGTAACAAGCTATCGTTGTGTTTTTTAAAATGGGGAATGAATTTTTAAGTCATATATTTGATTATGTAAAGGAGATCTATCTATATTTTAGTAGTTATATGAAATTGATTTTTTTTTTTAAATATAAGAGGAGGAGTCAATTACATTTTTATCAGGAAAAAAATTATCAACCAGTTAATATATACTCAAACTAACTAAATGAAATTGGTTAATCTATGTTGTTTAATATCATAATTAATGTATTGACAACATCAACATAGTTCCACTAAAATATTTTGTTACTTTTCCAATCCCATGTTTATTGTAATAAAAAAAACCACAATTAATATCACAAAATTCAAATTCCAATTGCTTAAGCAATCTATTAAATAATTAAAATTTTCTTCTTATACATAAATTTCTTGTACGCATGCAGAAATATATAATATTACAAGTTTACTTAATCTAGAAAAACGAATCGTGGAACTGAAAAGGCATATAATAATATTCTAAAAATGAATTGGTATCAAAAGGAAAAAATATAATGAATGAAAATAAATATTGAGTTTGGTTCAATTAGTCTCTAAAATTTTAGGTGGTCTATATAATACGTCATTCTACCTTAAAAAGTTTGTAAAATTTGAAATATATCTACATTTTTAAAGTCTATGAACCTATTAAACTTTTTTTTTATTAAGAGACTTCTTACACGTACGCCTACAAGTTTTTCAGGTAAAATATATACAAATACCATTTTTTCAAGTAAAATAGATATAATGAATATTTTAAATTTAAAGAACATTAAAATTAATTATTAGATAATTGTTCCCTTGCGAGGATCTTGTCCTTCCAACCTCGCCCAAATTCGTATAGAGAGCTATCAACAAATTCGAACATCAATGTGACCAAATTTTCGCGTGCAAAAGAGAACATCTCTTCTTCAAGGATCTTACACCCCATAGCAAACTCTTTTATCATCTTGCATTTCCTCGAAGAATGGATTAAAAAATCTCCCAAAGGCTAAGGATGGGGAGGCCATTATTGACTCTCCACCCAGAATGTTGCATTAAACCAATGTTTATCGAAGTTCAACAAACTAGAGGAATTCTCCCAAGATTCACTCAAATGCGGCCTGAGGATGTTGATTTTAGGTCCAACAATTTGTAATTGTCCCAACTTACTATCAAAATGACTATAACAGACTTTTCCTCCACTTTGCCTATAAAAGGCTTTTCACCCTCTTTGCTTATAAAAGAGACACCATTTATCCAACTAGAGATATGTTATTCTATTTGAGGCCGACTTATTGAATTTGAATCCTCACTAATTTGACTTTCGTAGTGTTTGAACCCTCCCTTAAAAATATATATAGGATATGTCATTCTATATGATGACTTACGTCAACATCTACACTATGCAGATTTTTTTCACTATAATATCTCTCCAACACTAATTTT